CTCTTCGAAGACACTCCTTTAGGCCTCCCCATGTGCACCAACACATCTTATGGCAACTTGTACCCTTCAAATATTTTGACCCATAAGTCCTATCAGTCTAAGCCAGCATAGCCAACAGTGAGAAATATGGAGAATTGTAGGCCAAAACATCTGCAGAAACATCTGGAGAACTCACTCTTGCTCACTCTTGCTGTATGGAAACTTGCTCCCTCTTGCCCACTCTTACCAGATGGGCAAGTTAACTATATTTTAGTGGAAATGGCCTATCTTTTTAATTCTGTCCCCAAACAACTCAGAAACTTGGTCATGAATTATATTTAAGCACTCCTCTCCTCATTCCCTTTTTCTATGTATCTTGTCTTTTAGGTACTGAGCCTGCACTTAGAAAATGTTACTAAATGTTATCAACTTGATCACTGATAATATAACTAGAGCAGCGCTTTTGAAACACAACCTCACATTTCCCCACCTAGTCCAATCCTGTATGCCCCTTCCCAACAGCAGTTCTTGGATTTTATCTGCTGCTTTATTGGTCATGGATGCTGCTGGCTTTTGTGAGTGATGGGAGTTGTTAAGTCATTTCTTTTGATTTTATAGGGTAAGTCATACCATGGTAACATGCCCCTTTGGATATCCTGGTGGAAAAAATGGTTCATAAAGAAATGTGTTTGTGGTGATACCCTGAATATGTCAGCAGGCAGAGACTCCTTCCGCATCCAGCTCAGTGGGCACTCCCTGCCCTGGTGTGATCTCCCTAGGCTGCTCCCTTGTGAATGGGCAAGAGATGACACCACCATGCATGATTCACTCATGCTGACTTCTATGCATAGATGTAAGTGTAGAACTAATTCTTATGATTTCAGTAGAAACAGGGTACATCTTATTATTGTGTGGAAGACCGTGACCTTGTGAGTTTGCTCCCCAGGTGCAGCAGATGGTTGGCTTCAAGGCTCAGCTCTTCCTTTGGATGGCTCTTCATCTTTAAACTAGACTTGGATTGGACTGTCCTTCAAATGAAGGATGCCTTCATGACAGAGGACAGTCTCCCAGCACCCTTCAAACAGAGGGATGTCCTCTGCAAAAGAGCAGGCATGGCCACCTTGAATTATCTCATATGGCTCTTTCTTCCTGACAGAATACTCTGCACTCACATAGCTCTGGCTTGTGAAACAGAATCTGAAGGAAGCCAGTCCAATGAGGTTGGTGGTGTGTGTAAAGATGAGCCTACTCTTTATGGATTCCTTCTACCCTCGTTCTCCACCTACTACATGGCCTGAACAGTTTTTCTGCACAGAAGTAGGAAATGACACAAACGAATGAAAAGTGCTGCTTTTATTACTATGAAAGAAAGGCCAGAGGAACTCTCTTTATGAAGAAGTGCAACTTTATATGGGCTGGAGGAATATATATGTTTGGGACCTTGGTTGGGACTCGAGAAGACTGAACCACCACGATTCTTTCACCCATCAAAAAGCAAACAGCAACGAGCCAACAGTCCTGCCAGTTAGTCAAGCTCTCATGGCGCCCAAACCAATTTGTAACTCCATCCCGGCTTGCATCTGTCAAGTTTCGTGCAGAATGTAACAGTCCCCGTATGAAATCGTCTATTCCCACGGAGAATAACATTACAGAATGATGCTCCGTGCGAGTAGTAATTTTGTTTTATTTGCTTTTCACATATGGGAATATTTATCTTCAAAGCGTTCTCCTCTGGCTCAGAGGCTGCTTTGTAAACCAGATGGTCTTGTGTGGCCTAATTGTACGATGATTTGTTGTGTGATTCAGTAGCATTGTTTATTTGTTCGGTGGTTGGATGGAATTCGTACACTGCATAATATTGTTCCACAGCACTTTCACTCAGGAACAAGTCCCATTTTGCTCGAACATTTGTGGCTGCAGTTGTAATTAGACCGGGTTCTGAAGACACTTTGATCTCTGTTCACTTGCTGCATCGAACCAGCAAGATTAAAGGAGATGAGCCCTCGCCGAAGCCAGGCTTGGCTGCTGGGTGGAAGGCTGCTGGCATGCTCTCGAAGACTGTTGAGTAACCAGTGCCATGTACATGCCGCTGCTGCCATTAGTTGCTGCTCCAACATTCAAGCCGAGACTTCTCCACCAGTAAAGGCATCGCTATACTTTGATGCCCCCCAGATGGGCTACAAATAAATAAATACAGCCACATGAAAAGGGGCTAGCTGGCCAGATCCCTCCGCCTACTTCCAGAACCTCCCTGCCCTGTTCCTTCTCCTCCATGAGGCCACTTCCTTTTCATCTGCCTTCCCCAAGAATGCAAGCTGAGAATGAGAATATGGGGAAGCATCTCACACTCTGCTTCTGGGCAACTGTGTGGATTTGGTCCCGAGGGAGAATGCAAGCACAGCAGTGCCATTGCAGGAGTGCAAGCAGCACACAGAACTCTCCACTATGAATATCCGCAGACACACACCTGCAAGGAGAGACTGAGAGAACTGGGTATGTTCAGCCTTGAGAAGAGAAGGCTGAGGAGGGATGTGGTATCACTCTGTTTCAAAGAGGAAGGTCAAGATCTCTTCTTGCTGATACCAGAGTGTAGGACATGGAATAACTCACTCAAGTTGTGGCAACCCAGATTCAGGCTAGGTATCAGGAAGTTTCCTCACTGTCAGAGCAACACAAGAGTGGAACCAGTTGCCCAAGAAGGTCATGCGCTCTCCTACTCCAGAGACATTCAAGAAGAAACTAGACAGTCATCTCAGTGGGATGGTGTAAATTGGTAACCTGTAACAGCGGGGGGGGGGGGGGGGTGGACCCGATGGCCTTCTTGGACCCTTCCAACTCCACTATCCTATGCATTTGAAACGAACAGCCATACGAACCTTTCCCTGAACCCAGCCTAACCTATTACTCAGCATGTGCTGTGAATGGCCAGGTGGTTCCTAACAGATCTGTCTGCAGACAGCCTCCGGAAATTCTCCACCATATTTGTGGGAAAAGAAACTGGGCAGCCCGATTTCACTGAGTGTCTCCAAGGGGAGGAAAAGCCCTGTCTCTCAGAGGTGGAGCTCACCATCAGCAGCGGCCAGAGCACATTCTTCTTTTCTTTCTGTGCTGCTACTGCAAGTGGAAACATTGGCAAACCTGTCGATGGCCTCATCACTGTTCCACATCCTCAGCCATGAGCCATGCCTAGGGGCCTTCAAGGATGATGGGAGGAGGCCAGCACAAGAGTGGCAAGAGGGCAGTGCACACCTTTTCTTTCTGTTTTGTATCTCTCCATGGTTTTGTAGCCCGCACCTTCTGATCTGAAAAGGCCCTATAGGAGGAGTTGCCTCAGTATTTCTCCCCCTGGGCTTTTATCAGAGTTCGGAAAGCTGTCGGGAAAGGCAGCACACCCATTCACACTCCTCAGCCACCTCAGAAGTCCAGTAAGCAGAAGAACTCGAAACCCAACCCATGATCATATTCCTGAAATATCCATCTCCAAATTTTGTTCAAATGCAAATGTTCCTACATAAAAAATGAATAAGGATGGTCAAAACTGAGCATGTTTTGTCAAAGCACTAAAAAGAATGCCTGGATGGCAGAAGGCAGTCCCGTGTTTGCACTACAGCCTGCGTCGTTTCCCCTAAGCTGCCCCCTGGTTTAGTGGAGGGCTCTGAGCTGTTGCTGTGTTTGGGAAGATCTTGATTTCAGTCTGGTTGGTCACCTATGTGGAACGAAGAGAGCTGCTGCCTTGTCCTTTGCCTCAGGCAGCAAAATGCCTTGGGCCAGCCCTGTCAACAAAAAATGGAAGGACCCCAACTGCATCCAAACCCCTTAACCACATACGCACCTCTGATACGGGGTTGATATTTTGCTAGTTTAAATAAGAACAAACAATCTCTTCGGGCTTAAGACACAAAAGATGCTTGCATTAAACATTTTAATAGACTCTGGATGCTGAAACTGCTTCATAAAGGGTAAGTAATGCTGAAGTCTGTGCAAGCAGAACAAAAACCCAGGAAATAGTGGTCATTGGCCCTCTCTTGCCAACATTTTGGTTTGGCATTCAATGGCTCATTCAAAGGCAAGATTAGATTGTTGGAGCACCACAAGAAGGTTTACTTCATGCCCCGGGGACACTCTTAGATTCCAGCAGGTTACTTCATTAATCTAGCATATCAAATTTGATTGGGAGCCTCATCAGTTTTCTGTTGCATTTTATTTTGCTATTTTATTTTTATACAGATGAAGAAATTACTGTTACACCCATAACCAGTGACAAGCCAACAACATGACTTCATATCTACTTTATAACCACATATAATTACATAACCTCGTAGTTTATTTTCTCCCAGAACTCATGGCTCCTGCTCGACTCTGTTCTGTCTGATCTAACAGGCAGATTTTGGACTTTTAAAAAAAGTTTTCAAGACACTTACACAATTAGGTTCTTTCCCTGTTTCCCATATCAAATACTCTACTTTTATTAACCACATTTTGATTCAACCAATATAGAAGGAATGTTCTGCGTAGGGTAAGGGGAAAGACTTGCAAAAAATCTGGCAACTGCAGCCACCTTTTAAGAATACTTGGACACATTATTTTATGATGTGATGGTTCCTCTCTTTCCATGCCTACATTGTAAATTCTTTTTGAAGTATGATTTCTGCTCTTTATTGTATATTTTTTCTACCAGTTTATTTGTATTGCATGTGTGTGTCTGTGTGGTGGACTCTGGAACTAGATCCAGGGTTACTGGCTGTGGCTGGCAACTTGAGATAAGCCTCACATAGACATGTGCAGCCTGAAGCCAGGAACGCCAGTGCAGCTCCCCGGATATGAATTTACCAGCAAGGACCCCAGTCCTGTCCGTGAACTTCTCCCCTCCAAAGCAATTGTGGCCAAAGAAGTGGCACATCCGCATAGAAGAAAGGGCCCCGTTGCTTGGAGGAAAATGAGAATTCTAATCTTCTCACAGACTAGGATGAGTTGTTAGGGAGATTTCAAAGGCAAAATGAAATAATCCAATATGAAAGTGATACGGGCAAATTGCAATAATTTATTTACCACTATGGCACCAAACACATTGTATTAAAATACAGACTCGATTACTTATCCATTTCAGTACAGTGGTTCTTACACACATTTTTTTTCCTTTTTACACTATTGCTTATGAAACATATTTGCTCTGCCCCATCTGAGGAATCATTACAATTTTGGCCTGAGCTCCACCCATGCATTCACATTTGGTCCAGCTAATTTGCTGAGGAACTGGGAAATAATGAGATCCCCCACTTCCCAGCTGGACAGCAGCACCTCCCACTGAATGAAAAAGCCATGCTGATTTGTCAGAGGATGAGGATATTTGCACCAAATGGGTGCACCCTTCTAAGATCTACTTTAAAATAATTGCAAAGAGTACCAGAGTTTATTTTGTTCCTGCAAAGCTGGGGCAGAAGTAGTTTAAACAAAAAAGGACCAAACGTCTTCCTTTAGCCATGGGTGAAAATGGGGAAGGACCTTGAGTCACCTCTGTTAACCAATCTGAATTTTCTAGACATGCTGAAATCTAGGTAGGTAAGCCCTTAAATTGTGGTGACTTTAAAGCAACAACAGTAGCCTAATACCATTTTTCCCCAATGCAAAAAGATATATTTTAATACAGGGCTTTAAAAAGAAAATACAAGAATAAAATATGAAGACATCAAATTTAAAAGCCAGGTTTTCTTCTGCAAAGCAAAGGGAATAAAGTCTAGCCATTTACACAATGTCATGTTCTGGAACTCTATAGAATCCCCAGAACCTCGAATAAAGGTACCAAAGGGCTGTAGTTACAGAAAAGCCACGTTTGTCGTCTGTAATGTTTCAAGCATTCCTTCTCACTACTCCAATATTTATTTCTGTGTCCATTTAAATGATACCATCCACAGAATTCTTGGTATTTCTTGATACCCACACAAGAAAGCCAATTAAACCAAAATGTTGTTCTTGCTTTTTTCAACTTAATAGTTTCAACATAATTTGATAAAATGGTTCAGAAAACTTAGTTCTTGGGTCTCTGCTTCAGCAAATTATTATTGTTCTGATTTTAAGCTATACTGAATCAGCCCATGGCATGGTGCAAAACTGTGGTCCCTCTGAATCTCATGCAATCTGGTTATAAATTTTGATACACTGCATAATTTCTTAATGGAACCTAAGCATACATCCCCCATCAGCTCTGACATGGCTCATTGGATAAGGATACATGTCAGATTACAATTGAGGTGAGCTTGCCTAAGAAGTCAGATTTCTGGAAAGGAAATAGAAAAGTTACATCCCACTAGGAGTCTCATTTTCTGCTTCTGGTCATTTTATGCTAGCTGGAGACACTGGAGATAGGACAGAAATAACTTTCTCAAAAATTTTAAAAAATTGTGTGGCAACTAAAGCCATTAGACCTGAAATGGCTGTGATTACAATGAACAGGTTTGTTTCTGTTTGGCCCTGAGGACTTAAAGAGTACAGAGGGCAAAGCCACCCATGTTGGCCATTCAGCTATGACTCCAGACTGCTGACATCCTCTCTTTCAGCTCAGACCATGTGGCGTTGAATTGGTAAGGTCTGCATAGGACCTCTGTTTGTGTTCATGTGAATGCAAGTAAACCACATGGCATGATCCCAGATCTTGCCTTATTAGGGTCCCAAAGGACACTTAAACAGGGATCTTCGTTCCTAAAGAATGAACCATTGCTATGTTCAACATACTAACTCTATATTAAGAATGAGAAAGAGTGTGTACAGTGTGATATCTCGACAATACACACAGACAGGACTGCTTAGCTCAAAATGTTCCAAATGGGTTGCAAAGCCCATTGCAATAAACAAGCTTACTTATGAGTAAATCAGGATTGAGCCATCAGGTGCTTACTTCCAGGTGACCTGTGATGCCTTCAGAACAGAACTAGAGGGGCCATAGGTAAGTGATGGCCGTCAACCAGTATGGTGCTGGTTTGGGCAGTAAGCCTATTATTCCACTGAACAGCGGTTGACACCCAGCATAGGCTGGAAGCATGGAAGTAATTTTTGGCAGTCTTCATGGGAAAGACAGAATATGATCCCACACTGAAATTCTCCAGGGAAAGGTAGCACAGCCATTGGTCACTTTCCTGCCATTCTAAGTGCCCAGTCCCTCTGCCCAAAGAACAGTTCTCTGGCTGAATCAAGGTGTGGCTGCGTCACACCAACCATCCCTCCCTCCAAGTCATGCGTCCTGGCTTGCCCCATCTCTGACATCCTCACAGGCAGACACCAGCGGGTGAGGGCCAGCCTCCTTGGGCGATTTTGGGAGTCATGTGCATTTGCACGCACCTGCATGTGCATCAGCTCAGTGCCTCCGCTTTTCTGTCGAAGAGGTCTACTCCAAGTCGGTACTGCAGTCCTCCAGGGACCAGCTCATAAACTATGAATAGGCCTCATGGCCAAGATCCCCCTGATGCGAGGAAGTAACCTCAGGGTCTGGCTACTTCCAGGTGCACAAGTGCACATGAAGCTACATGCCCTTCCTCATTTTTTACTTGCTCAAGGAAGACCTCATAAGCATGACTTCACCATATTCCAAGTTCCCAAAACTATGGGTTGGATCCAGATTTAGTTATAGTTCCAGTAGACCCATTAAAAGCATTGTGACCCATTTTGGTCATGCCGACCTTAAGTCCTATTGGGCAATATCCAGTGACCTCATTCTGCAAACTCAAATAATGCGAGTGGAGCTCTGATGAATATGCAAGTAGTTTCCCATTGCAACAACTACCGTTTTTGTACAACTATACTTAGGTTGGTACAAGCATGGTTGTGTAATGTGTTGTGCACAACAACTTGCACAAAAGTTATATAAAGCTGGATACACAACAGGTTGCACTAAAGTTATGCAAAAGCATAATGCACAACCACTTTGGACAACCATCTTTGCACAAACATAACTTCAATTAGCATGTATTCTTACACATAGTTCAGAATGGTCTCTGCTACCATTTGTGGAATGACACAGTTGGATACTACCCACTGATTCTGTGCATCTATGCAAAGTATGGCTAAATCCGGATCCAACTCACGATCAACCAAAGTCCTGTTTGTGGCCTATACTTTTTGCAAGAAGATTCTATTGTCATTGAGTTGCGCTATATCCATACATATTGAAGTGGAACGATTTTACAACATGAATTCAATTCTGCTAGTGTGTGTGTGTGTGTGTGTATGCATGTGTGTTTCATTAACTGTCTAACAGCTGCTGAATGTTAACATTCACACAATAATCCCAGATTAATTTTGTGAATGAAAAAAAATATATTTATCCTTTATTTTCAGATAGGCACTGGTAAATGTCAGTGAGCAACACAGGTGACTGTCAACGTTCATCTATTTAATTCTGTGTACACTTACCTGAGAGTAAGCCCCATTGAATACAGCTAAATTTCCCTCTGAGCAAACATGCAAAGGTTACACTGAAAACATGGCATGTCTTAGAGATTCCAGACACTGTCAGGATTCATCTGGAACTGTCAGAAATCACATATGGATGTCAACATTCATACACATATATACCTGTAGGGAAGGAATCAAATGCATTTGATAAGTACTATTATACACTTTTAAAACAGTCAGGCAGAACAATTTGATCAAAAGGGAGCTTTTAGTTTGTTCTGTTTGCTTCACTGAATTACGGAAAGGGAAGCAAAGCACAAAGAAAAGCAAAATAATGCACCAATATATGGTCTGGTCCTGTAAATCATTTGAGAAGTTTGTCATTTGAGAACAAATAGTTCTTTGTCTCCAAACAAAACAGGGGCAGCTCAGTAATAATGACAGCCTTGGGTTCAAATGACTGCCAGAGAAACATCATATATGTAGGTTGTGTCCACTTCTGAGTGGGCTGTAAGCCCATAAATTAGTTATCTAAATGGAAACTTTGTAGACTTTGTGAAAGCACATTGTTTGGTGCTGATGTCAGATAAACCCAGTTCAGCAGGTTTATTTGACAGTACCTGGCAGTAAGTCCCACTGAACACAGTGAGATTTACTTGTGAGTAAATATGCATTGCTTGTGTCGCTGTTCATAGCTTTACAGAATGAGAATTACTTGACTTCAGTGTTAAAGGATGCCATTTTACTTAAGCTTATTTTTATAATAATAGATTACATCTACCTGCGGACTGCATTTACATTGCTATAAACCCCATAGTCCTGACTTGTACTCTTCCACTCAAACTCAAAACCACCTGGAAACCCAATCCCCAAAAGTGAACACCTTACTTAATTGCAGCTTATTTGAGGGGCTGAGGTGGAAACTGAGCATCACCCAGGATCCTTTGAGTCTGTCTTGGTGAACATGGATGCCAAACCACTCTGAGGCCACACATGCTGAGAATCAGTCTCCGCATGGACATGCCTACCTAGATGGGGGAGGGAGTCTTTGTAAATGGGAGCTGCATGTAAATTTCTGCAATTTCCTCCATCTGTATCCATGCAGAAGCCTTTTTTAAAAGGTGTACGGGCTCCAGGTATAAGTCTTTAATTAAACACTCGCACTCCTAAATTGGCTTTTGGGGAGGGAGAGAGGGGCTGCGTTTAGTCCCCTTCTGCTTCTCCATCCCACCACACAACCAATTGTTGAAGCTGCAGCTTAAAAATGAAGCAAAGCAAAATGAATCATGCATGTAGCACCAGATGCTTCCTGCATGCTATGTGGGAGTGGTGCATCCTTCCCCAGCAATACTTTTCCTTTTATTTGAGGGTTAACTGAACCAAATAGCCTAAGGTTTTTTTAAAAAAATACAGAACTGATATTGAAGGAACATAAACTCACCAACAAACCACCTGCCACAAAAGATATTCACATGTATAAGGTTGCACATGTAAGTGCATTTTCATCTTGCTTGCATATTTCTTCATGTATTTATTGGATTTCTATCCTGCCTCTTTCTTTTTTCAAGAACTCAAAGCAGCTCACAACATTCTGCTCCTATTGCTCCCAATCTTATCCCCACCACAACAACCCGGTGAGGTAGGCTGGGCTGAGAGCCTGCGACTGGCCCAAAGTCACCCAGCTGGCTCCATGGCCGAGCGGGGACCAGAACCCAGGTCCCCCAAGTCCCAGACCTGCGCTCTGAACCGTTGCACCACACTGGCTCTGCACAGACCATGTGCCCTGAGCCTGCTGAGCTGGCTGGATGTGTCTGTTGTCTAAGTGTCTGCGGCTGCCACTGGAAAAAGGCTGTGAGTGAGGAAAGAAGTTGGCCTTCTTCTTAAGACCTTCTCTAAGGAAGCCTGTGACCTCCAAATGGACATCAGCTACGACTCAAAAGGCAGAAGGAGGTGCCCTGCTTAGCTCCTCCATTGTTCTTCTCCATCCGTTTAGTTCCCATCTGTCACTCAATTCTGGAACAGGGTCTTGAGTCAGCAATAGTTCGACATACTTTTTAAGATGTACGAATGGGAGGGCTATGTTAGACAAAACCATATATTAATCTACCTTTTGGCTTTTTTGTAAATGAAACAAAAAAAAGGAGCCCGGTAGCTGGTGTCATAAGATGAAAGACAACATACAAACCACATGTATAGCAAATATTATAAAACATGTATTTGTAGTGCAAGTTGAAAATACAGGGACTCTACTCATACTGGCCGGCTAGAGGGAAACACATGATTCTGAGTGATCAGCCAAGAGCCCCCAAATTCAAACTCTTCAGAGTTGACAGTATTAACAGAATACAAAAATAGGGTGAAAATTTACACATTACACATAAAGTACTTAATTTTTTAATAGTTTACAATAGAGATCTACAGATATGTTTCCAATTAAGCTGGCTTCTTACTAACCACCTATTGAAATACTATAGGTATGGTTACATATACCAAAACAAACAATCCCAAAGCAAAAGCTATACAGCAACATATTAGGGTCTGAAAATTAGACCAGTACATATTAAATATTTCACTGGTTTACTAAACTGACCATCTATTCATTTACAGTTGTTGTTTTATTAATTTTTTTAATAAACTTGTCTTTTAGACTGAAACAAAATGTCCTTTATTAATAAGCTTTTTAGGATTAAAAACAACTGTACGTGGCTTTACATAAAGCCATCCTAGGATCTTGGCAAGAAAAACAAGGTGTATGTGGAATTCCTTAACAATGCAATAACAGACTACTATTCTGAATTGAGCTAAACTAATCATTTTGTTCCAACTATTTTGAACTCATGTTCCTTAGGTATTAAAGAGAATTCTAGCCATTTATTTGGTCTGAAAATTCGTCTTTTCTCTCTGTTACTTCCCCCACCCCCAAATGGCAGCGGCATGTTCTCATTTGCTCGTATTACACAAAAATAAATAATGCGCTTTTAATTCTACAAACTACAAGGAACGGATAGGGTGTCTATGGCATAACAACACAGAGATCAAGTAAAGCCACGGGATAGATACAGCAACTCCACTTAATGGGATTTTTCCTGTTTTTTCCTTTCACATAAGAACTCTACAAATTCTTCCAGTGTTTATTTTTTAAAAGGTTTTTCTTTTTCTTGTCATTCTTTCTTGTTAGTATTTTTTTTTGCTTTTTTAATTAAAAATGCTTCTCGTCTATCTCACTAACCAAGTAGTTGAAATGTAGAATAAGGCCTTCACGGTTTTGCATCGGATGACAGTTTAAAAAAAAAAACAAAACAGAACAATGAAACAAACTCTCAAACAATTCAGACTAGTACCGCTTTTTTTCCTTTTTAAAACAACACGGATGATCCTATGTGTTCTTCTTATTTCTTCCTCTTGGTATGTTCCTTTCTCTTCCTTTCTTTTGTAGGGGGAAGAAATGCGCACACAGTGCTGCTTGAATATATCCCTTAGCTGCACTTGCAAGACTTTACGATCATGTTAGAAAGTTGTTCAATTTTGGGTGTTTTGCCAATGAAATACAAGATGGTGAGGGGTTCTAGATCCTGGGAAACACAACATGGAGATGCAGATGCTTCTGGATTGATAGTGTTATACAAGCTGAGTACCTAGAAAGGAAGGAAAAGGAGATGAAGATATTTCTTCCCGATATTACAGAGCCTCGGAATTGATACATTCCAAGCATTTCGAGCTATTTTTGAGAGCAGAAGAAGTCAGCCTGGATCAAGCCAAAGGCCTATCTAGTCTAGTGCTTTGTTTGTACAGTAGCCAACCAGATGCGATGCCTACAACTAGCACATAAGCCGACTCATGTGTCTCAGCTGCTGGCATATGAACAGAGGTAGCATTTAGCCACGATGATAGCTGTATGCGCCATGAATCTGTCCCATTCCCTTTAAAGACATTCCGGTTTCTGGCCTTCACCACGTCTTCTCATCATTCCATAGTCTGACTATGTGCAGTAAGAAGAAGCCCTTCCTTTTAACAACCCTGAATCTCCCATCAGTCAACTTCACAGTATAATTCAGGGTTCTAACATTATGGGAAAGTGAGAAAAAGTTTCTGCTGTCTGCTTTCACCACAACATACACAATATTGCACACCTTTATCAAGTCTCTCCATCAACATCACCACCACCACCACTTTGCTAAATAGACCCAGACTATGAATCAGAAAGAGATTCAGTGCTATACTTGCAAATGATTTGGGGCACAATTAAAAAGCAGCAAATGATATGTATTTAAATATTCTATTTTTAATTTAGGTGGGTGGGTATTGGTGATCCTACCAAAATTCTAAATGCAGCTGTACAAATCCTCCCAGAGAGCTTTGGCTACTGGGCGGTATATAAATGTATCAAATAAATGAATAAAAATAAATCTGGGATTTTCATAGTCTCTGTATGTGCCCCGAGTCCTGACTCTGAAGTACTACAATCATGAAGTGTTCACAGCTAAATCAGAGATTCAGTACATCTTCATTTCTCTTTTCCGAACTGGTGCACTTTCATGGCTGGCATGACTAAGCAGTCAAGATCTGTCAACTTCGTTCATGCCCAGATGCTGCTTTTATAAAGCTTTCGGTAAGTGGACGAAATGAAAAGACCTGCTGTTGGCCCCTGTTCCAAAGGATTTTTTTAACCTAATAGTAAATGCTTATATATGTTTAGACAGAAGTAAGTCTTCCAACTCCCAGCATTCCTCAGCCTGCAGGACTAGATGAGGCATGCTAGGAGATGTAGGATTTTTTCCTGTCGAAATAGCCATAGGATTGCGCCCTTAGTTATTCCTTGCCAAATAAACCAATCAGTCGTGGATGGGACTCTGAACTGCCCATGCAGGAAGGATCAGACAGTTTATTGGTGTCTGTCCCGTTCACTTGCATCACAGCCAGGAAGCGAAGGAGGTGTGGCACTGGGGGAGGCATGTCACTCTAAGCACACATGTTGGCCGAGCACCTTTCTGCAAAGTGTCTTTCTTAACACTCAATACATGTAAAAAAGCTCAGAAAAAGGGAAAGGTGCCGTTCAAATTAAAACTGCCATTTCGTGAATCAGCTCCCAGTTTCAAATTGCAGCAGAGTCAGGACTGGTTATCACTGGGCTTGACCTGCCCAGATGTCTTGGGCCAGCCCAGCTGGTACCTTCAAATTTCTTGCCCAGATAAGAAATGCGTAAGAAGCCAAGCTGCTAGAAAAATGACAGGGATTGCCTGGAGTATATCAGTACAGAAGTGAGAGGTCTAAGGCTATAAACACTCTCCTCCTCCTCCTCCTCCTCCTCCTCCTCCTCCTCATAGATTTTTGCCCAAACCCTACACTCTTTATAACAATATCTAAGGCACGTTTCTACAGAGTCTGGCCCCAGTCTTTGCCCTACTGCTTCAGCACAGCAAAGCCCTATCTGCCACATGGCAGCCATACTCAACCTACCTTAATTTCCCGCCCGTCTGCATCGGAGGTTGTGGGTACTGCAGCACCCACCCAGGAGGCACCCCTGCCTTGCCACTTCCTGCCTTTGCCCCATCCTGCCTGTGACCTTCTGCCTGTACCATAAGCAGCCACAGGGAAGTTCTCTGCACAAGCTGAGCTAAAGTGAAGGAGAAGCACCCAGGAGTCCAGCGTTCAATCCAGTGAGGCCAACCCAAAGCACAGCTCCTTGTCACAGGCAGGAGCACTGCAAGCCATAGAAACAGAGCGAGTCAGAAGGGGCTCACAGGCCATCTACTCTGACCCCCAACTCCAGCTGGCTCTGCTCATGACCTGCCTACCATGTGCATGTCCAGTTTATCCTTGAACATCCTTAAGGCACTTAAATGATGCTTCATAGGACACACATTTATTTTACTATTTATTATTTAAATTTAAATGTATTACACACATGTAAAATAAATGAATCCGCATAAAACATTCATATGCCAATCTACATTGATGTATGCACATTTAGAAATGATAACTAGGGTTTATTTAAATTTCACATGAGGCAAAAACTCCCAAGTAATTTCTCATCCACCTCCATTTGTTTTATATATATCTTGGTTACTCTGTACCCTAAACCAGATCATGTCAAACCAATGGAAAAACTTTTCCCCTAAGCTTAATTACCATGTAGGGATTTTTATTTTTATTTGGTGAGGGGAGGCAATAATGCATGGTGTGGGTTGCAGAGCATTAACTCCCCCCACAACTACAATCACCCTCAAAAATTGCCTCCTGAATAGCAATTAAGCTGAGAAAAAAAGAAACCAGCTACCTCTATTAGCATTCTATCCCCAAATCGACTTCCCAGCACCTTGGATCTATTCCACAAACACCAGTGGAGTTGTTGTATGAGCACCATGTGTGTGTAGCAGATCCAGCATCCTAAGAAATGAATTTGGAACTGCTGTACCTTAGGCCCAGGTCTAAAAACACTCCTGCCCATGGTGTTGCAATGGAGAATTTCTCGTTTTCTTTAACCTCTCTCATGGGGCTCTAGGCAGAGAGGAAACATCCCAGAGGGTGAATTTAAGTATTTCCTTTCAAAATCTGGATGTATGATGATCTTTGATTTTATTTTTAAAAAGAAGGCAAGGATATTGGGATAGGAAGCAAAGGGGGTTGGGGCAGGATTGGGACAGGACAAAGAGAAAGTCAAGCTGATTGAGGTTACAGGAACAGCCTGAGGGAACAAGAGTATGAGACATGTGGCATGAGATTAGGAATGCTGTAGAGCACAGAATGGTACAGAGAACCCTTTCCAGACTCTCCTTGTCTCCCAGCCTAAGCAGCTGCAGCCCCAAATTCTTCAAGCTTTTCCTTGCAACCAAGAAAAACTGGCTTTTACATTAGAAATCCATGCCAAGATTTTTTTAGGATGCCAAATGCTGTGCCAGATACTAGATTCTGGGCTGGATTTTCACAAGCCAGCATATGGCATGCACTCAGTCCTGATTGCAGCTGCCCAGGGGGAAAACTCTTTTCCCCAGACAACCTGTAGTGTTGTGCAGGCCTGCCCCGGAAGGCCTTGGATGGGCCGAGTCCATACCTTAGGACTGCATAAGGGTTCAAAACCTGGCGTACAGAAGGATCTATATCATTTAACACAGAAGAGGCAGAGGTGACTGCTTTCTCCTGATACCAGACCTCTGCTTGGAGAAGGCTTTTGGTTGGAATGCAGTAGGCCCAGGCCTCATCAAACAGTGGTTGTGTGGGGCAAAGCATGGGATCTGTAGCCCTCCAAATGTTGGGGGACAACTACTTCCATCAGCTGGCTAAGGCTGACAGGAAATTGAGTCAATCAACACCTAGAGAGCTATGCATTTCCCAGTCCTTGCCTAAGGCAGGGATGGTCAACCTTCAGGAGTCTGGCAAGCTAATCTCTCTATACCCCCCTGCTGGCCACACACCAAGCCCCCTGCAGCTGACCCACTGACTTCTGCTTGAAAACAAAGCGTGCAGTTCCCATGCATCTTATTGTAAAAAGTGACCCTTTTATGCCACTGCTATACCCTCTGATGGGCACTAGGAATGCAACTTTGAAAGGTTATTGTATGCTTTTGCTTTGTATGCAAGAGGTCCTGAAATCACATCCTAGATTATTCCTATTCAAAAGACAGGGTGGCTGTATGTTTGAGGGAGGGATCTTAGCTCATCAGCAGATCATGTGCTGTGCATGCAGAAGGTCTGGGACTGTCTTAGTGTAGGCAAAAGGAAAGATGAGGAGGCTTGTGATGGAAAAGAACTGTTGACTCTGGAGCATATACAGCATGGGAGCAGATGGACCAAGAACCTGACTTAGTAGGAGACAACTTCATATTTTAACATGAGGAGAGTTTGGCCATAGTGTAAGGTTCAAAAGTTCCATGGTGGCAAGCCTAAGATTAACTAGTCAAAGCCCGTTACAAGAGCCTAACTCCAAAAAATGTACAAAGAAGCCCACTGACCCAAAACTAGAATACACTGTAAATCAAACCTTTGCACACTGACTGTCTTAGACAACACAACGACCCACACTAAAGGCTTGAGTATGGCCTGAATGTAGGTTTTGTTGAACAATAAGATGTTGTTGAAACATGAGCTTCAGCTGCTGAGCCTACCTCCCTAAAAGGTACAGCCACCCTGTCTTTGAACAGGACTTGTCTGAACCCAGCCAAGATAACAAACCATGCTGAACAACCCACAGATCACAAACTAACAACAAACCACGGATTCTCTTCATTGGCTGTTTGTGATTAACAAATCATGGCTTGTTAGCAGAACTGGGTTCAGACAATGGGATAACCCACATTTCAGCAACAATGCAAGGTGCAAAATCAACTCATATTCAACCATGGGATGTGGATTATTGTGTTACTGGAACTAGACTGGTAAATGGACTGGTCATTGACCTGGAAAGCTTGAGGGGAAAACTTTCAGCTTCATGAACTCTCCCTACAGTTAAGAATTTTGATTGTGCAGAGTTCCCAGCCATACGATTTTTAAATGCAATCAGCTGGACTCATTAATATTTGCCTGTCAAATATCCTGCATGGCACCCAGATGTCTAAGATGGCAGCTGTCAGAATAAGGACAGTGGGGCGGGACCCACATGCCAGGCCCTGCTCCTCCCTGTGCGTTCTGGAAATGCAAGAAGGCAGGGTGCCTGAACAGGACTGGGGTCACAGCGCCTCTCTGTCTGTTCATCTGCTAAAATTCTTTTTCTTTCCAGCTTCTTGACAGGCTGAATCAGGAACTGGTTTTTGCAGATGTGCTTGCATTCTATAGATATCAGAATGGAAGAGACTCTTTTACAAGTGGGAGAACTGCACTGGAGCTTTTAACAAAAATTATCCAAACACATTCCATCAGATGTTTTAAGAAGACTTTGACAGCAAAAAAAGAATGGGTAAGCTGCCATTTCTATTGGCTTTGAAAAGTCTTGTGTAACAAAAGCATTACTGCATTATGGTCTATTATTCAAACTGGCTTTGATTTCCTTCGAGCCAGAGAAGAGGTTTTGATTTTTATTTATAAAATGGTTCCCACCCTGCCTTTCCAGCCTTCGATGTTCAACATCCTACATAAAGCAAGGCCAGCGTTTCCAAGAGACAGACTTACCCTGCTGTGCTGAGTATCGGAGCTCCATAAATAGGGACAAGCTCCTGCACAGAAATTCGCATGGTATCCTTTAGGTTCATGTATCCATTTCCATCCAAGATCTCTCTTGAAGTCAATATAAAATGGACGTAGGCAGCAGTTATCTTGTACGTTCCTGAAAGGCAGTTGCAGAGAAACACCTTCTAAGAGTCAGGTCCAGCAAATCAGGGGGTGAGAATGGGGTTCCCCACTTGGGGATGTTTTGAGGTGAGTTCAGTCGGACTCTCAAGGGGATTCTTTGCATGTGTGCTCCTGAGGCGGGCTTTGTGCAGCTGGTGCTTTCCTGGACAAAATTAGAAATCCCTATTTCTACAAACATCCGTTTTCAAAATGGGTCAGACAGAGAATTACGCTGGTCCAGGCCACCCCATTCAAAAGGAGGGTTCAGAAACCTTCCTTGTGCATTATGAAAGCACATGTGAAGGGGCTGCAAGGGCTAAGCTGTTCCTTGGCCAGCACTGATGAGCATGCCAATGGTCTTATGCAGGAAGCACGGCTCCACACAAGGGGGATGCTGGAACAGGGCTGCCCACCTGTATTGCTGTGTACACAGGACCTCTTCTCACACCTGTTGAAGGTGTGGCAAGAGGAAGGGCCACAGGACAGCATCAGGAGGGCAGAGCTAGTCCATATAGGCTTCCTCAGACACGCTGCTAACACATGCATTTCTTCTGAGGGCAAGTTATTCTGTGCTCTCCCTCTCCCTCCTTTATCAGGTATGAATGGGTGACCCAGTCACACCTGCTGCAGAGGCATGGCAGCATGACCTAGCTGACTGGCAGAGGAAAATGTCAGAACAGTAATCACTCAGAGATACAGCAGGCAGCTTCCTCCTTGGGTGACCTGATGCAAGATTTGCTTTATAAAATTCATTCTTCTTTTGTGACACACCAGTTCCTAGTGTATTGCAGTGTCTTCCTAGACATGCTTGCTCAGAAGTCTCACTGAGTTCAATATGACTTGCTCCCATTGAGAGGGACACAGGAGTCCAGCCTAAGTTGCTCCTAGTGTGGAATCAGGGAAGTATTTGGACTGAGGCTAAGTCATGACTTTGGAATGGTAAATGTTAAAAACTATCCCCCTGAAATCACTGAAAAATGTGTCAGGTTCTTCTTTAAGCCCATGTGAAAAAAGCAAAAGCTTCAATCGTATTAACACAATCAAGAGGATCAGGTATTATGCTTATCCAAGGTAAAGTACTTTGCATTACAGAATGACAATCATTTAGTCAGGAATCCATAACAAACTGATTTTTCATGTGGCAATAATGCTCTAGCAGTTTGTGACTGATGTTACTGTTTCCTTCAGATGAATTCCCTGATGTATTTGGTGCATTAAGAAGAAACAAAAGGAAATACACAGGTTGACATTCAGTACTTGCTCTGTGACTTTAAAGAACCAGAAATGCAAAGATAATAAAAATCAACTGTCCCCAACCTGGTGACCTCTTGATCTTTTGCATTTCAATTCCTATCAGCCTAGCCAGGATGACCAGCGGTCAGAAGCGCTAATCAAAAACATCTGAAAAGCACCAAACTGGGAAAGACTGAGATATGATATATAAATATATGATATGACTGTGAATACAGCAGAATACAGGATACAGGAAAAGCCTGTGATTGGTAAGCTCTGCCAGCCCAATCTGGCATGGGCTCAGGTAAAGGCTTGATTTTTTAAAAGTCTCAGATAAAAAGGGTTATTCTCCCTCCTGCTACAAGATATTCCAAAATTCATGTCCTGTCATATCCCTGATGGCGTCACAAGGGAAATGCTGGCTCTCCATGCATACATGTAAGTCCTGAAAGTTTTCTCCTCTGCTTTCCCCCAAACATCCCAGGTGCAAGCAGCCACAGAAAATAAAGGTTTGCACAGCCTCTGTTGTCCCTACATTCCCCAGGGGTCCCTGCACACAGAAAGCTACCTGAGAAAGCAGAATTGCAAGGCCTCCTTGGTGGTGCTGCAGGAGAAAGGCTGCCTGTGGGAGGATTTCATCTCAATTCAGAAAGCAGCTTCAAAGGAGCAATTATTCAAAGTGGGGAAGCAAAGGGGTTAAAAATGCTTCATTCCGGCTGCAAACCCATGACCCCTAGTTAGCTGCTATATGCATTTAAAAATCACCTTTAGGCTGGGAATTAGTCCTTTTGAACTAAGACACTCAATGTCCTATCTATTTTGGTTCTCAGATTGTAATACACTGGGAGAGTAAACCTTGATCCAGCTACCTAGCTGGATTATGCTTTCTATCCCCTTAATATGCCACTCTGAGATCATTAGCACAGCTTACAGCAGTTCAAAATATAATCACAAATGAATCAATAAAACTATGGCCTAATGTCATCTTTTGACAGGTTTTGGAAGATGAAGGAAGCTTCTGGACTTAATTATAATTCATAATTTAAGACCACATTGGCAGTATCTGAGTCTACAACAGCACTAAAGTAAATTGTGTTGCCCTAACATATGCAAGCGTCAACACAGCAGCAGTAAAGTTACCTGGCACAACAGGATTTCTGGGAGAACTTGCTTCAAACTGTGGTTTCAGATCCTAGTTTGTTCTGAAACCAGTGTAAACAAACCACTGGTGAGCGAAAGAGGAAGGGGAAGAGAAGGGGGGAATGCCAGTAAAAGGCTCACCATGGAACATACACATCAGCAGAAAATGTTTCCTCTTATGTCTGAACTGCCCATGGTGTGTTCCGAGAAATAAATGGTGGACAGAAGATAGGATTCTTCAACTCTCAGATCAGTGGAATATAAATAATGTATTGCAAAGAAAGTCCAGGTTTGCTTCCACAAGAGCATTTGTACCAGAGTCCACCCATGTGTTAGTAGATTACACCTACCATTTCTTTCAACCTAGAAGGAGGAGTATCATGTAAATGAAAATGCTCCCTAACTTATGTTTGTTTTTGTTACGTTTTTATTTATTTTATTTATATTGCAATTTATATCCTGCCTTTTTCCTACAAAGGGCCCAAGGCAGCTTACATCATTCTTCTCCTCCATCTTATCCCCACAACAACCCTGTGAGGTAGGTTGAGCTGAGAGTCTGTGACTGGCCCAAAGCCACCCAGTTGGCTCCATGGCTGAGCGGGGACTAGAACCCAGATCATCTGAGTCCCAGTCCCATGCTTGAACTGTTTTGTAATCCACTCAATCAAATGTTATTAAAATGAATCTTGTAAAGAAAAAATTAATAAAGAATCAATAAATTAATGGGCTGCATTCACACTCTATGCATAACAACATATTACTGTGCACACATATAGACTTAAAACATCTGAATCCATAGTTACCTAAAGCAATAGGCAGCATCTAGAGCACGTTTCTTCCGCCGACTGGACTGTTGCGACTCAAGTCTGTAGGAGGGTAATAACATTAGCAGAAGATGTGGGGTCTTCCCACTGTATTTTTTCCTACTGGGCTTTAAAGATTTCTCACCACTGGGATATGTGTAGTAGTCATCAATACCTTCAAAAAATACATTTTGGCAATAAATATTGTGTTGCTTTTTTGGAACAAATTATATAAACCATTTTGTTATAAGAAATCATAAAAAGCAGGGGATGTTTGCATCAGCTGGGTGCATTTGCAACATGCTGCTATGCATATCTGAAAGTGGGAATGAAACCCACATTGAGTTAAATGATCACATGCCCTTATGTTTATCTCATTTCAGTTAATTTTCCAAACCACTGATTGGAGGATCGCAAGCATGATCTGGCAGGCATTCTTCCTTTCCCTCATCACATACCAATAACCTCCTCCGCATGTTTGCAACTTAATGTGATGTGCAAATTGCAGGAACTATGGTTAACACTAAGCTTCAAAAATTGATTCAGAATGATGGCTTGAAAACCATCAAACCATGGTTAGAGCAACCTAAAATGGAGGAAGGAACCAATGCACCTGTGAGCCAGTGGCATGTACCCAACCCTTCAAACTATGATCTGGAGGATCATTAAGGTTAGGCCTGTAGTTTGCCCTCAGTCTCCATCTAGGAAAAATGTTTTTATGCAATTCAATATTAATCAGCATATTGAAGACTCTGTTCAATATCATCTGCTTATGGTTAGCCATTTAATCAATTGCAATACAGGATATTATTTCTGCTGCAATCATTTCGAGTCTAAACATGAACCTGGAAGATTATTTAAACCTAACATCTATTCTTCTGACAAACTATACTTTCTCATTAGTTGGCTACTTAGAACCAAGTCCCAATGGAATTGATTCCCTAGTAAGTGTTCTTCTTAGGCAATCAAACACTGGAATCTATAGTGAGGCTGCCATTTATCTTAATAAAGCTGGATTATATTAAAATATTCAGAAAATAACTTTTGAGGCTGTAATTTATTAAAATATCAATAGTGAAGAAAAGTACACACAGCTCTACACATAAGCACACACTTATCTTTCTAGATCCACATGCATATGACTCTTCCGGGAAAACTCCATGTTACAGCAGCAAACCCATGAGGCTCTTCCCAGTTAAAGCCATGCAAGGAATGTCCACCCCTTGTCCCTTCTTCTACATGACCCAGAATAATTTTCACTACAGATATTATGTGTTCTATTATTATCCATGATAATGGAACTGAGCCTGGCTTGGAGGAAAGCAAATGGAGGTAGGCTACCAAGAAAGGGGAAGTGGCAAGCAGAAGGTTTAGCCTTTCTCTCTTGTCCATTGAGCATTCTATACCTACAAATAGGCTTTACATGTGATCAGGCTGACCATGTTTAGACTGCTGCTACCATGTGTACTTGGTTCCCATTTGCTGGTACTCAAAACCAGCATGCAATTCACAAACCACTTGCTCCAGAGCAGTTCCTGGATTTGGGTGATGTGTTACTTCTGTCCTAAAACACTTCTCAGAATCCTAGCATTAGCCATACAGTGGACAGCATCCGGTGCTGTAGGATTAGGTGCTAGCACTATGGGAACCTAGCAGAGCCCAAAACAACCCAAAATGACCTCACACGCTTATATCTGGAAAGGAGCAGGTCAACAATGCTCACAAAAGGGACTCGTCCTGTCCTAGAAATGAACATTTCTGCCAATTCCCAAGATCGTTTTCTGTTGCAACAAGCACTCTTTTGTGCTAGTGGTTGGTCCCAGAAGTGCAACAGAATGAGCTGAGGTGGAGCAGCAGCATTTGATGCTGTCCAGTGTTTGTATCTATAAAAGTTGCTATAACAATGGTTATTTCTGACTGCCCTCTTAAGTGCACTAAAGAAAAGGGCTGAGCAAAGGACAACTGCCTTTCCTCACATAAACTCAAAGATACGTTTGCATTCATCAGTGAAAGCGCAAGTACCTACTATGCTAAATATGTAGCGTTGACCAGGGCCACCATGCATCAGTAGGGGAGGTTTAAACATCCCCCTCCAGCCACTCCTCCCTCCATTTAATCTAGGCAGACTAGAAAAGGGGAGGGGGGGAATGGAGACAAAGAGAAAGTACTCAGTGCCAATACAGCCTCCCTTTTATAGCACCTCCATGGGAGGTCGGGGTGGAAGATGAATTTGGGATATGGAAGCGGCTGGGTTTAAACTTCCCAAGGCAACAAGTATTGGTCTTACTTCGGATGGGAGCCTCGCACTTAACATGGTGGTAAAAAAAGCAAGTGAGGATCACTTACAACTTTGTACATGTTTGACACAGGGTGTACTTTAGCCTGGAGGGATGCCAACCACAGCCTACATGTTCACCTATGAGTCAAGAAAGTCATTGAGCCAACACAGTTCCACCCTGAATTATTCTGATGCTGCAGTGCACAGAAAGAAACTAGGATTGAAGGGCTCAGACCATTTGAAGCAGGTGAGAGATGCACACCTGCCTTGAATATGCGATTCTGTGAGCATCCCTTGTGATGTAGCTTTGCACCTGTATGTTGAGGCCAAGTAGCTTGATGGGATGATTATTGGGAGAAAGGCAAATTAAGTAATCTGGCTAATCTGGCTCCATTTGAACTCCAAGCACTGTGTCTTGGCCATAGATATGGAAGTACAGGAAAAATCTATGTAGACCACTGGTTTAAATGCAAAAAGAAGACTGCAAAGAAAAGCACCTAAACGTACATATTCTAGATCCCTTATAGCATGCATGGGGACCCTCTGGCTCATATGCCAAGTATGGCTGGCAGCATTCCCCATTCTGCCTGCCAGAGTTTTTCCCCAGACCCTGTTGCCAGCCCCAGGACTTCTTCCTCTCCTCTGCCCCAGTGTCTACCAAAGAAAAAGAGGATTATCTTTGATTTGCAGCAACAACGGGACATCAGCCTTTCACTTAAGTCACCAGGAGAAAGGGCCCCATTTCAGTCTTTTCACTGGAAAAGAGGACAAGCCCCATCTTCAATCTCCCCTCCCCTCCTTTCATTCTTTGCATCAACTGAGTTGTACATTTTACATAGACTGTAGGAACTCTTACTTATCACACAATCGTTTTAATTTTTTTGTGTTTTGTTATTACCTGCAAATCTTGCCTCTAGTTCTTCACTTTTATTTGGGATGATATAATTATTTGAAGGCACGAATGTGCAGCATGGACAATGTAAACTTATTTTAAATCCAAGGTTCCTGTCTGCAAAACACAAGAGAAAAGCAAATTGCCTTCAGATCAGGTACAGACCTGAACATATTCAGATTAATGTATACAGGCCTCCAGTGGTCAAAGGGGTTAGGGTACTGTCACCTCTGTGGTGGAGCCATTCATGTACGGCGTCAGTTACATCAAAAGATAGCCATTCACCTTCAGCTCTTGTCTTAACTACCTTGCTATCAATGTAACGCTGCATCGGTGATGTTAGATCTTTGCTTTTGAGAACCTGCAAGAAGAAGAAAATACATATTCTGTGGATTTTGTGCTTTCAGGGTTTCACAAAGAAAACAGATATTACCTTGGACTCAAAATAGGATGGTAATAGTTCAGAAAATTATTGCAATACTTGAGGTTTGCACCATCAATATATTAGTCATATGCCTAATGTAAAATTGGATTTTAATGTTGGGTGTCTCAATTCTGAGACAGCAGAATTTCAAGAAAAGTCCTACAGTACTTATAATTCTAAAATCAGGATCAATACAGCACAATATTGCTAATATTTTAATACGTTGTAATTTTTATCAACAGTATTATTGTTCTCATTGTTCTCTAATTGTTGCTTTAGCTTTTTATGATTGCAACTTCCCCTCCCGGGGTATTATTCACTTAAGCAGTATGCAAATCAAATCAATCAGTTAAGCAGTATGCAAATCAAATCAATCAATCACCATACTTAAGCTGTTGCTTCATCATCCAGTTTCAAGACAGTGAAGAAATGCTGAATGTGACTTTTAGAGGGCAGGTGTGACAAATCCAGGGTTGGTTAGGCCCGTTTGCGCACTCATGCACAGCCAACACGGCTAACCAAATGGGTGATTCCTTCCACATCTTGCTGATGGTGGAAGGTAATTGTGTGCAAAGGGGAATTCTTGAAAGGAAGCTATGTGGCCTGAAGTTGCTCCTACGCTCTGCCCCTGAACTGGTCAAGTTGCATTTGCTTTAGCATGCATCCCAGGGCTTACTGGATATGTTAGCTTATTTATTTCAGAGAAGGGTGCTGGACCCCAAGCCAGCTAGCCATATTCGACCCATGGTGTCCTAGTCCAGGACTGCCCTGGTGGCCACACCTCCTTCCTTTGGTTCGAACATCCCAAGATTGATCGCGATTGTTTCACAGCTTTTGCATGCTTGGTGCGTGTGTGGTGCCCCTGTTCTAAAAGACTGAAATATTTCTCCTAAGGATGTGTTACTTGCATCACTAATCCCTCACCTATTGGTTTCAATGGGGAGGGGAGTTCCACAAAATCTGCAGGGCTGTAAAACCTGGTATAGCTGCCCCCTCACACTCCGGTCAGAGTGAACTGCCCTAAAGCTGCCCTGCCTGCACAGGATTGCCACTGCCTGAGCTGCCTGCAGGCTAGTTTTATTATGTTAAAAGAACTTCTCGAAGTCATTTGTGCTTGCAGCTTTTTCAATAGTATTTTCACTGCATATGAACATCCTTCTAAATGGGTAGTGAGGTTCTTGTTAACTTTGAATTCCCTCTCTCTTGAAGCACTGAGAGAAGGAATGTACCTTTGGCAGAGAGCTGTAAAGGTTAATGCCCTTCAGGGTACTTTTTTGGAGGGGAGGATTAAGATCCTAAGAAGCTTCCACTCCGGAAAGGAATGTTGCTCTCACAGTGGGGTATCCTTCTGCTCACAGTTCTGTGTTCAGAAGCTGCTTCAACACAGAGAGCTGAAAGCAAAGATGCAAGACACCACTTTGCATGACCTTTGAACAATTTCCTCTTGTTTTTACCTTGGGCTGCTACAGTTCTCTTACTTCTAGGAGGACATGAGCATGAGCCATAAGTGAGTCTTGTTATACAAAACTTTTAGTCTGAGCTGGCCATGAAGAACAAATGAGGTTCTTGTCACTTTAATTATAAAGGTTAATAAATAGACAGTCACTATGCTGTAACTCACCGAGACCGTTTGCACTGTCAGCTCATACCCATCCACAGGGTGAGTTGAGATGTCAAACTGGTTTAAATAGTTATTACTACTACTAACTATTGCTATTGCTTACTCTCTCAAAAAGTGAAGTAAGATGGTGAGTGCTGACAAAAATGAAGTTGAAATGGGGCTATTGGGAAACAAGAGGAAAGTATCACAGTGGACTCTGGGACGGGTTGGATAAGGGCCAATAAACTGAAGATGAATGTTGGCTGCCTTTAAGGCTGGTCCCAAAGCTGAAGATGATGCAGAATGCAACCACTCAGGTGTTGTGGGGAGTTGCCACTTCTCAGCATGCAGATGGTTTGCTGAAGGTACTGCACTGGCCGTCTATTTGCTACCAGGTTTAAAGCTCGTGGACTAGTCTACAAAGTCCTGAACAACTTGGAGCAAAGAATATCAGAGACAGAGTATCTCCCTTACCAGCCTGCCTAGTCAGTAAAATCATTGGAGGATAGACTCCTGGTGCTTCCATATGGAGTCTACGAGGAGCAGAGCCTTTGGCGTGCTGGCTCCATTTTTATGTAACTCCTTGTCTCCCTGACACTGTGTTGATTCTGGCATCTCCTGAAAACATCATCATTCTGAGAAGTCTTCCTTGCTTACCAGTCACAGTTTGAATGTCATTAGGGTTTTAATGTATTATTTCTCTCATTTTATTTATCTTTTTATTGTAGAATCTGTCTAGGTATGGATCAGTATACAAACGATGCAAATAAACAGATAAAATCACAATGTTTGAGTTTTGTAGAAGTACAAAAAACTCTTTAAAGGGCTTGATGAAAATTTACCATCTGTGGCAGAAGCATCAGCCACTTGTTCTTTCCCCTTCTCCTGCGTTGCTCATGCTCTCCCCTGATGAAAAATTCTGGAGAAATCAACAACGCCAACCCTGCCCATTATTTGAGTTGGCCTCATAAAGATATCATGGTGATTTGAATGATGGACATTTTCATTGGGATTCTTCTTTGGGGCCAACATATCTACCTTCATTTTTTTAATAAAAAGCAAGCAACTGATGAGGAAAAAAAGCAAAATCTAACATAATCCTTAAAACAAAATTCTTTGACTGCTGGCTTGCTTTGTAATTCAATAATTGCAGGCTTCTAATCCACATAAATCTGGGACTCAGCTAAAATCAGCCTGTACATTTCTGCCTCTTCCTTTTAATTCCACAGCCATCAAAATGCAGAAAAATGATGTTTGTGCTAGATCAGCGTCCCTAAATACCTGCCAGATATGTTCCCCGGGATCTATCTATCTGCAATGCAAACCAGTTTCTACTACTTAGTCAGATCCTCATGTAACTATGCTAGTATAACCAAGATGGGGAAATAGAAACAAATTTGATTTTCCATTTGCAATGGTGGATGGGGTATCCTAAGGGTATCCCAAAGGCCCCTATTCACTTTCTATGTTTCACTTCACTTCCATAGCACCTGTAGCCAAAGCTCTCTGGGTAGTTTACAACAAATTGAGTTTACATCTGAGTGAAAGGATGCTAATCTGAACTGCTGATAAATATAAACCACTGTACTCAGGACTAATGCTGCAGGGATGCCAAAAGTTGCCTTTCATCCTTCACTGATAAGCATTGCAAATCTTTCTGTGCAGAGCCTGGGTTGGTGCAATAGTTAGAAGGATCACAGAATCACAGGATAGTAGAGCTGGATGGGGCCAAGGCAGTCATTGGGCCCAGACCCTTGCTCAGTTTAGGACTCCAAGTTAAACCATCCCTCTCTGGTTGCTTTCCAGTCACTGAATACCTCTAGTGCGAGACAAACCACAACCTTGCTAGATAACTGGTTCCATTGTTGCATTGCTCTAACAGTCAGAAAGTTCTTCCTGGTATTCAGCTAGACCAAGGCTGTCAGTCTAAGAGAGCCCTAGGCTGTAACACGGCTTATCATTACAGGGACATCTTTTCCAGTGAAAGCAAAGGGAGACATAATAGAGGCGTAACAAATGTTCCACAGTGTGAAGAGAGTGGAGAGGGAGATCTCTCTTTCACACATACTCCTCCCCGTAATTTTAGACCTCAGAGTCATCCCATAAAGCTTATTCATTCAATCCCTTTGTGTGTCCTGAATCCTATATACTATGCATTGTTGAACTATGGGATTCAATTCACTGTTGTAGCAATGGCCACCATTCTGAATAGCTTTGACAAAAGGACATGGCTACCTGTCAGGATAGTTACATAACACTTGCAGCATCTCAGGAAGAATACCCATTACTGGAAAAGTGGAGTTGGAGAGTGTGGTTACAATGCATCCTACTTGTGCACTGCAGTGTGAAAAGAAAGCTGGACCAGATGGGTCTTTGGCCTGCTCCAGTGTGGCTTTTATATTCGTAGGGATGGTCCCGGGCTCCCTTGGAACCTATGCACCCCTCCCCTGACATGGCCCTCAATGGCTTGGCACAGCTTGCAAGACAAATGAAACGACTATAACCAACTCCAACCGCTAAAGCACAGCACAAATAAAAGAACAGCATGGTACACACAAAAAAAATCATGATCTGTCACCAAAGGCCTGGAAAATAAAGCCTTTACAGAAGAGAGAGTGATGAACAATGATCAGCCTGCTCTCCTTAACATCAGACTCATGTCAGTCTGGCAAGACATATTCCCAGCCATATTCCAATTGTATGGATGGGGAATTGTGGCTGAGACAGTGCAATTTGCTCAAGACTAATCACAGAGTTAATCTGTGCTCTACCATGTCCCAGGTTCAAATCCAACACTTTCACTACAGCATGAAACTGACTGCAGAACAAGGAGAAAAGCCCACCAGGTGACCAGGATGAGGCACTGATTCTCATCCTGATCTACATCACAGGGTTGTTGAGTGGACAAAATAGGAGGGTACGGATGCAGTCCTGAAGTCTTTGCAGGAAGGCAGAAGGGCGTGTAGAGTTCTGACGTCAGCATGAATGTTTGCTTCCCTGCAAAGCCATTTCTGGAAAACTATTTATGTGGTCAGACCCTTGCTGAGAGCTTTCCAGGGGCATTTTGCATGAACATCCTTGGACCACAAGCCCCTCCGCTTTTTTCAGTAACTGCACTTACCTGCCAAACATTCCAGGCCATGCCTTCCCTTCAGCTAGCCTTATGTAATGCTATGTGACTGCAAAGAGGAGTGGCCTCACAGCCACGGAAATCAACAGGGGTCTTTCCTTTGGCTGCAATAAGCCTCGGATCTGGCAATAATTGAGAGCAGAATGTGGTCCTTATAAACTATTGTACGAGGTGCAGCGTTCTTGCCAAAATACAAAAGGTACACAT